TAGCGGGAGAAAGAACGACTGCAAATGGGTTATGGTTCAGAGAAACCCCACACTCAGCCTTGAATATGGGTTGTTGTGTTCTATCTGCCAAATCGGTGAAGCTGCTGTCTACCCAGCAGAAGCATTTTGTGCCTTCCTTAAAATTGTCCTTCCCATCTTGGGTTTCACAGTCAATAGAGGGCAAGAAATCCAGTGCTAGAGACATAAAATACAGTATGTTCATAGGTTAAACAAGCACTGTTCACTGTTACAGAAATGCAGTGAGTCAGTGTAGTGCACATTTAAATCATTGGCACAGGGAACCCGACTGGTGCTTGCGTATGCATTTCCCTTTCTATCTTTCCACCCAGCTCCCTTCATGAAACAGCAGTCCCTGTCTGAATTGAGGACAGGGGAACTGCCTATTTCATTTCCAGGTAAGTATTTTATGAATTACTTTTTGTTCCATAGTTGTGTTGGCATGTGGTCCTGGGAAAATAAACAGTTTTCTTTTGCAAGTTTTTTTACATAAGACATTACGGTACACTCATCATTCTTGACTCAGAGGTGTTTGTCGCTTCTTTAGAACACAGAATAGCCCTCCGATTTAGCTTCTATTTGTAAACTGCACTTTTTCAGAGCAGGGAGAATGAAGTGTTGCTTTTGAAAAACAACAGAAAACACTGTTTCCACTTGCATGTTTGCACAATTCCCAAATACCACAAAGCCACCTGGAGGTTATATAACAGAAAAGCAGAAAAGGAAATGCTCTTTATGTAGTGTTTGGATCTCAATTCTGTGACAAACTGAATGTCGATGCAGCAGATTAATACCCTCAATGTAGAAAAGCCAGACATGTTGCTCTGGTGCTTTGAGGAATTGGCAACAATGACGGATTTGTTCCTAAAACGGTTAGCTGCTTCAAAGGACCAATCTGCATGATGATCATACTTGCAGCAAGGGTGTTAAATGCAAAAAGAAATAGAAAAGGGAAAATCCCTTATTCATATAATAACACATAAGAACACAAGAAGAGCCATGCCTAGTCAGACCAAAAGTTCGTCTAGTCCATCACTCTATTTACTCAATGGCAAACCAGCCACCCATAGGATCCCTCGAGCAGGATGGGTGCAAGACCTCTACCTGCTCAAGCTCACACATCTAATTTGGCCTTTAGGGGTCTGAAATCCTTGGGAAATCAAGCCTTTCTTCCTTCCTTTTACATCTCTGGGTCTTATTATATCCCATAACAGTTGCAAAGTATAAGGGAAACAAATGGAAATGTTCCATCATTACACAAACTGAAGGAAAGAATTGGTGGCTAGCAAATGCCTTTCTCACTTGCTTTCATTTTGTGGGATGAAGGAGGGTAGCAGTTTCAGCACATTACCTGATCGTGTTCTGGAAGGGACAGGTTTTATTAACTTGAAAAGAGCCCTGAAAAAGGGCAACAGACAACGTTTCTTGGTGTGGTGTTGCTGTGACTACAACACTGTGAAGAGATGTTGCAGCTGCGACCTTCTGCTCTTTCTAAAGCTCCTGGGCAGGCAGAATAGAAACCTGATAATGCCTTTGAGAACAGGGTAGTCCTAGCAGGTACTCAGCCTCATAGTGCCTCAGTTTGCTTATGCTAAAAAACTTATATTTCAAAGGCAGGCTATGAGCATTAATCATTTACAGCACAAGTCTGTGTCTGTTCACTTAGAACAAAGTCCCATTGAAATCAACAGGACTTACTCCCAGGCAACTGAAGCCTCAGTTGAAGTGTTTGTAAAATCTAAAGCAAGGGTCTCAAACTCGTGGCCCGTGGGCCAATTGCCGGGACAGGTGGGGCATGGGGGAGGGGCCCTGCGGCCTTCAAAGCACCGGCGGCACCCGGGCTGGCTGCGGGATGAGCGGCCCACCACCACCGCAGTGGTGGAATACTTGATGTGGCCCAGCCTCACCCAGACTCTACTTCCAGTGGCCCCCAGGTAAGTTGAGTTTGAGACCCCTGAACTAAAGTTCTTTGTTCTTCCTTGAAGGTGTAGTTATCACCTGATTATTTCATCTTCAAAATTGGATCCAAATCCTTTCCTTTGGAATGGAGAGTTTCTAATAAGAAAAAATAATCTTCCCCTCATCCAGCACATCTGGAGGGCATCAGACTGAGGAAAGTAAACTGGAAAGAAAGCGAAAGACTTCCTCCCCAAACTGAGCCTGCCCAAACCTCCATCAGAAGAATTTGCATGAAATTGCTATCTCAACATGTATACAGCACTATTTTGACAGAAAAGTCATAGACTAGGTAGTTAGTATTTTGCTACCTTTTTGCTTATCCATGCAGTTTAGCATTCTGTAAATCAGAATGCTCCTTAGACATGAATACAAAAAAGCAAAGAGCCTTTTGATTAGATAAAAATGCAAAAATCCGGTCAATTTTAGTTTGTTTACAAAACTCCATAACCCAAATTGCAAATGTGTGCTTTGCTACAAAACAGAACTGACTGAGCTTTCGAAACTCAGTTCTTACAGTTTAGTGTAATGTCAAAATACTTTGGCATACAGTTTTTAAGTCAAAATAAAATATGTACACAAACATTGGGTGCTTTTAGATTGGAAATAGGAGTCAGTGCCCCTATTAATAAAGTTGGCATCTCCATGTTCATATGCTATACTCTAAAGCAAGGGAAGGGATAGGGCTGGAGGGGTCCCTAAAGCAAAGAATGATACATGAAATATCCTGGAAGAGCCTGACTTTTATAACAAAATAGCCAGGCCCTGGGACTCAACTGCATTGTCCCTGCTGCTCCACCAGATACAACCACCTTCTCTGACTGGCAACATGAATGGGAAGGCAAATCAAGGAAGGCAGGAACTGGAATCTACATGATGCAGTGAGTCTTTCTGGGGTGTGAGAGGTTGGAGCTTGGTTCATGTGGCAAAAGGTCTTAGGCCAGCACTCAATCCCAAAATGCTGGCCTTGTGCAACTTGGCCAACATAGAGCAATTGGAAGCCCTAGTCCTAAGCTGGCTGTGCAGACTGAAGGGAAACAAATGGCCTTCTGCCTTCTTCCCTTGAGCTGGAAGCCCAGAATGGGGCAAGTGCTGTCTTCAGAGTATGCACTTCCTTGGGGATGGGTGGGCTCACACCCTTCTGAGCTAAGTTGTCCATGCACTCCACAAGACTCCTTGGGCTACAGTGGGGATGGCTATGTTGCCAATTAAGGGAAACAGGAAGGAATTCTCTGTGGGTGATGTGTCTCTTCAGAGGCTGATTCCCTTCCTCCTGCAGCCTAGCATGGGCTGAGAAAACACCGCTGGGTACTGCAGGTGGGTGCATGAGAAGCTAGCAGGGTGGATTGCTGCTGCTGCAGCCCCTCAACGTGAGCTAGGCCTTTGAGCACCAGGGACTGTTCTTTGGAAAAGAGGTGCTTCTGCTAGAGCTTGAACAGGGGCTTTTCCCAGAGCCCACCAGGAAATGTGGCATGTACAAGGAAAAGGAAAGTAAGAGTGAGAAAAAAACACCTCCCCTTTGCCCTGATCTTGTTCTTCCCTGCTCAAAAAAGAAAAAAAAGTTCAGCTACTCAGTTTATTAAGTTTTGGACAGATGCTAATGTGCATCTAGGTTTACATGAGCATAATAAGTTTACATGCTAATCTTAGCTGTATCTCATGGTCTGGATTTAGAGATACAAAATAATTTGGAAGGTATAGTCCCAGTTTCCAGCTGGAAATTTAGCAGGTTTAAATATAATCCCCCCACAAGTGACTTCTTCCTCTTCCCCCACCTCTCCCCCCCAAAAAAAATCAAAATGTACTTCATGAAACTATTGTATATGAAGTACTTATTAGCCATAATTAAATGGACAATATGAATTTACTACGTCTTTAGGACTCTGGCTTGTTCTGGTTTAGAGCAAGATGATTAATGCAAATACATATTACTTGAGATAACCATTTAGCAGCTAATTTAGCCAAATTTATTACAGCAGTTAGAGGTTTTTCATTTTAGCAGACGGAGACAAGGACATGCCAAAAGCGGAGATGTATGTGAATGCACACTGCCCTCTAGTGCACAAGGTTTTGCTGCATCAAGAACAAATATAAGCAGAAGAAAGCAGTGTGAGCCAGAATAATAAGAATAGCAAACACTGACTAAATTTGTGCCAAACACACACTCCTTTATTATTCCAGCAAGTGGTATGTAGCTTTTTCCCTTTCCAGGGAAGCAAAAATATCCAACAATATATAGCTAGTTTTAGCTTGGCAAAATTCTGGTTTAAAATGAATTTTAACATCTGTATATTTGAGCATTTTAAGTGCAGCTTCCCAGAAGAGATTGTTTTGACTTCCCCCTCCATTTCTGAGCCTGCTTCAGAAACTGCACAGAGCTCTTGGCTTTAACGTGCTTGATTCCACAACTCCCCTAGGCCACAGCTCCTTCCACAGCTCTTTGGTGGATTTATTTTGCTCTGGCATTAAGCAAAGTCTCCACAGACATTCTCCCTACTGACCATTGGAGATTTGGTTCATCTGAGGACTGTAAATTCTGTTTGACAAGATCAAAAGAAACAGATGTGTAAGTTCAGTAGTTGATATTGCCTGCAATGAAGAGGAATGATCAAAGAAGTAGGGTACAGTTTCTTCCAAAACCTTTCAAATAGCCAGAATCTCAAGGAGGTTTACCCAGGAGCTATGAATAAATCACACAGAAATTTAACTTTTTTTTTGTTAAAAACATGTTCCATGCATTGAAAATGTCTACACAGGATTCAGTTCTCCTTGAGCCGCAAAGGTTTGTGCTCCTTATTGCTCGTCCACCAAAAGCCGATTAAAATTGCACTACAAATGGAAGAAAACCCTGTTTGCCTGCCAGGGTGCTAAGAAATGGCTGAATTTATTTGTCATTGTAATGATGATTTCTGAGACAAAGGCCTTCCATCTCTCTGTACATGTGTTGGCCTCTCTTTGTAGTGAAGAATCCCCTTTAAGTACAATTCTAATGCTACTCCTTGCTTCTTTTATTTCCCTCAATCCAGTGCTGAACAAGGGTCAGTGTGTAACAAAATACTACCGCTGGATGCAGAAGAACGGGGGTTATATCTGGATACAGTCTAGTGCCACCATTGCGATCAATGCCAAGAATGCAAATGAGAAGAACATCATCTGGGTGAATTACCTTCTGAGGTATATCTTTCTGTCCATTCCATTCTTTGCATTCTTTGTTGTCACTGCATGAGTCCTATCAAATGGATAATATAAAAGAAAGTATGGAAGAGATTTAATGAGATCTTGCTCAAAATCAATGCCTACTAATGGATCAGAGGAAGATGCTTATAGGGTTGCTATTTTCTGTACAGTTCTCAAATGCAGGGGTGGTATTAACTTACATGTGGCTTTATTACAGAGCTGCTGTACAGCTATCCCTTGGTAGTATGCTGCTTTTGGCTATCAGAGAATTCTGGATAAGCCCCTAAAGTAAAGTTCCTTCCTATATTTTTGACAAAAGGCCTAGAAAGGTCATCTTCATTCCCTTGTAGTTTCAGAAGACCTGCTTACCTGCTTCTTGTTCCAGATACGTTAGATGTAGTCTCTAAATGTTACCTAAAACTTATAGCATGTATTTTGTCAACACTGAGTTCAGTGTTCCAGAAGTGGTATAGAATTTGCAACCGTCTGAACCAAGCTCTTGCTGAATGGCGAAAGCCTGCGTGCACTGTGACGAAAGCTAGTTTATCAATCTCAGTTGTATTGTCTACAAAATGGAAACAATGACCTCCTCCTTAGGGATGTTGTGTGGAAGAGGCACTGAAAATTGCAAAGTACTTTACTCAGTAGCACCCTACTCCTAATAGAGTAATGCAAGCACTAACTACAAACCATGGTTGGGATAGGAGTGGGGCAAAAGAGTCCTTTTAATTTTCCCCCCTATTGCAATAAGTAGACACTCACATAAGAACTGGGCCCAGAGGGATTTGGCACTGTGCCCAGTTTGCCTGTCTCTCTCTCCCCATAACAATCACTTTGAAAGAAAGCACTGTTTTCTCTCAACCCTGAAGCAATGAATGGGGGAGGGACTGTAACCCTGATTCCTCCTTGCTCTCCCTTCACCCTTTGATCATTTTGGAGATGACTGGGAGTTCAGATATTCTTCAGTGGAGGACATTAAGCTCAGTACACCAAGTGCACCTTTGAACCCTGTTCCCCCCATGATCACTTCTGTGGTCACAGTAGGTGCATTGCCCAAAAGGCCATGCTGAGTGGACAATATCTCAGTGCTGAACATAAGCAATTAGATACCTTCTGTTTCAATATCCCTGAGGTTGCTTCCGTGCCAAGATGAGAAGTGGTGCATTCTGGGGCTTCCTTCTGGGTTCTTGACAACCTGAACAAAGCAGTCATCTCCAGCATGTCTCCAAAGCATTTGTGGGGGAAGCTAAGGGGGTGCTTCAATCACTGTATGCCTTATCCTATCTTGCCCTGCTCAGCCTGCCATTGAGCACTCTCAGAAGCTATATGTTGACAACTGCTTTTCAATAGACCAAAACAAGTGAGGCCTTCACCAGCAAACTCCAATCCTTCCTCACCTGCCCCCCCCCACAAAAAGTGTTTGCCTTTTCTTCTCCATCTGATGTCAACCTTTCATTGCTAATGAGTAGACTCAGTCACCCTTGTGCTGATGTTGCATGGGGTTGCCTCCCTGTGTCTACTAAAACGTGTATTGTGCCCCACAGAAATCCTTCACTTTCTTGTGTCCTCTGTCCTTGCTCACCTTCTTCCCACTCTATTTTCTGGTGTCACCCTATTTCTCTCCTTCTACCACTTTCTTTCCTCTCCTCCATCAGCCAGCAGGATTTTCCCCTCCCTATAATTTGAATCTGGTTCACATTCTGAACAGGCAGCTTGTCTGAATAGCCCCATATCTTCAGATCCAGTCTCTAATCCACCCTTCCTCTCCATTCTGCCACCCAATCATACGCTGCAGAGTCTTGCAGTCTTCTGCTTCAGGTGTTGTTTTTTTACGCCACTAAGAGTTTGCTTGCTCAGATTTTTTCCATACTTCTTCAAGCTGCAGGGATCCCCCTGAGCATGCTTGAAACATCCTTCTTCCAGTGTTTTGGCTGCCTAACTATCAGCATGCACCTTGCATTTCATTATTAATAGGAATGATTAGGTTATCCCTCTCCCATGACTCCCCAACATTCTTTTCTATCCATCCAAAATTACATCACACTGTAGCACATGGTGCTACCTGTGCTACAGGCAACATGGTGCCCTCAAACACCTTCTCTGGTGCCCATCAAGATGCCAGTGCACCAACATTTTTTGAAATCCACACATTTTCTTACTGGGTCACTTCTAAACAAAGTGAGGGCTTTGCACCTCAACCACGACCATCCTCATTTGCAATTCATGTTTCCAGACTGTACAGTGGGGCTCAAACACAGTCTTAGGAAATAAATGTGGCAAATAGCTGCAGACTGATTTCTTCTTCTGCAGCATTTGAAAGGGGAACAAAGGAGTTGCTTAGTGTTTTAAGCTTGGACCCCACCTCTGCCTCTGTTTATACAATTACTTCCTCCTTGTGGCAGTCCATTCTTAAACATAAAATCAATGAGACCATTAATTCAGTGGTCTGCTCTAAGTATGTTTAAGTCTGGATCCAACTCTTTTGTGGCACAGAGGGGTGTGAACAGAAGAATCCACTCCAGAGGCAGTATATGTTTCTTCAGAGGACTTAACATTCAGTGGGAGAGGGGGAAGCATGGCTCATTCTGCATCAGAAAATGTTTACTTCTAGTCTCATTCAAAAGAAGTTTTGTGGTTAGGGTTGTATTGATTAGAGGAAACAAAGCTACTCGGTTATTTATTTAATATTTTTACATTTTAAATTACATACTATAGTCCAACTTTCTTCCATCATAGAACTCAAGCTGGTTACATGGGATTCGCAGCTGGTCAAACCTGTTAAGCTTCAGCATGGGGGCTACCTTAGACCATAGTCTGTGTCACCCTGATGAAGGACAGGTGCCTTGCTTTTGTCCTAAAGTGATGTCACATCAAGCCTTTCTTGAACACAGCTTGCCTCTAATGTGGCAGCTGGAGGGGTGGATGGGTTGCTCAGCATGAACAAATGTTAAGTATTCATAACCAAAGTCTTGCTTTGCTTTCCCAGCAAGGCAGAGATTTGTTTGTTTTTATGGAACATCCAGATAAAATACTGGTTGTTCTCTCTATGGCCATCACTACCTCTTTCAAATGATTTCAAACACAAGTGCTTGTAAACAATATCGTAGTATAAGTGTAGTTGGTTCCTTTTGTTGAATTGCAACACTTGCAAGCCTGGCATACAATTTTAAACAGAAAAGTTTCAGAGCAGATTTATACACTGCAAGTACTCATTGAATTTGGGGGACAATATAAGGTATGAGGAGACCATTCATATTGTTTCATAGATAAACTTACATGAGTACAGAACTCATTCCATTGAGCACTCTATGTATTGATATTGATTTTCAGTATTTTTCCCTTCATGTGAACAACTGGATAGACATCTTGCTTGTCCTGTTACGTAAACATAACATTGTGACAATGAAAGCATAAGAAATGTCATCTTTCCAAATGGAATCCTGTCCTATCCTTTTCTGTCCTATCCTTATGTGGTCAAGAAAGTCATATCAGCAGAGACTGGGAGAACCTGAAGATCTGCAGAAATAGAAAAATTCTTTAGGGAAAATATCTAAGGGGAGAAAAGCGCCTCAAGCAACTCAGAACAGAATGGAGTATCCTGGAAAAGGGCATGGATCACTGGAGGGAATAAGGAACAGTACTGTTCACTGCAACATATACAGGTTTCCATGTACTTCCCTCTTCAGGCATAATTTATGTCAAACATGAACACTGAAACAGCAGACAACTACATTGTCTGATGTTTCTATTGTACTGTCTGCCTAGTGTAGATTTTTGTATGTGTGTTTAAAGAATTTTAATGTTTCTCAGAACAAAACAAAGCAGAATCCACTATTGTGGGAGAATTTAGCCTATGGCTCTGAAATGAAGTGGGAGAATGACCCATTCTGTTTATCAGAAATGCATAGTTCAAGCAACTGAGAAGAGAACTGTACACAAGGACATCACTAAATGGCCATATAAAAATCAAGTAGATTACATAAATGAAAGTAGAAGATGAAGAATATGTACTCTCACTGCCAAAACAAGACCAGGAGTAGATTTACGTACCAACCATGATCTATTGATATCGGAAATCCAAGTAAAGCTGAAAAACATAGTGCTAAATTACAACTGAGATTGCATTTCTGAGGAATTTTAAGTCCACAAAAAGAACATATTTGCATTGCTGAGCACAACTGACTGTGAATCAGAAGAACTACAATCTGAATCCAGAGACATTATTGGGAGAAAATGCCAAAAGACAATTCCTGTAGCAAAAATAAAGCAAAAGATGGATGACAAAACATACACACACACACAATTGCCAAGTATAGGCAGAAAGCAAAAGCAAAGGTGATCGAAATAGGGTTAGAATCCTGAATGAAACTTTTAAGCAATTATCACACAGAGACAAAAAGAACTATTGCAATGGCAAAGAAAGCAAAGCAATCAGTAAAAAAGGAAAAACAAGAGACTTCTTCTGGAAGATTCAAGAAATCGAAGAGAAATTCAAACTTCCATTGGGCATACTGAAAGATCAAGAGAGGAAAATAATATCTGACCAGGATAAAATAAAGAGAAGTTTAGAACAATATGGGGAGGAACTATACAGAAGAGATGAAAGGATGACAGACTCCTAGAAAGAAGATCCTATGTAGAAGAGCCTGCAATATAAGAAAGTGAAGTGAAAGCTCTTCTTGGAAGTAACAAAGCAACCAGAGTAGACAAGGATGCCAGTGGAATGGATCCAAGCCACAGAGACTGTATTAGTCCAAATCCTAACAAGAATATGCCAACAAATAAGAGAACTGAACAATGTGCCACAGATTGGAAACTTTCAATATATATCCCTGTCCCCAAGAAAGGAGAAGATAAGGAGTACAGGAACTATGGGACTATAGCACTTATTTCCCATTCTAGCAAAGTGATGTGCAAGATGTTTGTCTTGTATGGGATGGGAAATGACTCACTCAAGCGGGATTCCAAACAGAAAGAGACACTCAAAGAGACACTCACATCACAAGTACATGTTGGCTGCTGGAGTGCACCAAAGACTTTCAGAAGATCAGCTTATGCTTAATAGACTACAGCAAAGACTTTTACTGTGTAGATCATAACAAGCTATGGATGTTCTGGATGTGCCTCAACCCTTGATGCATAACTTGCATCATGGACCAGAAGCTACTGTTAGGGCAGAATATGGAGAAACAGAAGGGTTTCCTAAAGGCAAAGGCATCAGACAATGGTGTATTTTACCTCCTTATCAGTTCAGTCTGCATGCAAAGTATATCATAAGGACAGCTGGACTAGGATCAGAAGAAGAATGAATTAAAATTGTCAGAAGACACCAATAATTTAAATTATGTAGATGATACCATATTACTGTCAGAAAGCAACAGTAAATTGAAATGACACCTGATGAAAGTGAAAAAAGAAAGTGCATGTTTCTCATCATTTCGTCTTTTCTAAGGAGTCTGAGCAAGAAGTTAGGAAGTTGCTGCATCTTGTGTTCTCAGTCCATACTCTAAGAAATACAAGAGGCTTGCTTTGGAAATGCCCTTTCATTGGTTGGTTGGATAGTTTGTTTTACTTGCTGGTAGGCAAGCTTGGCTGGGCTGGTGGTGTGTGACTTTAGCATTCACCATGTGGTAGAGTTAACTCCATAGATTAATATGTTAAAACCATGGAGGTGACCACTTTGTCCATTCTGTTTCGCCTAGAAGAAATTCCATCATGGAGTTATGCAAAAGAAGAAATCATAGGATACCGTGTAGACTTTAAAAAGTAATCAGCAATGCACTCCAAACATGTGAATGGCAGAAAATGCTGTTTATGTGTCCATAACACTAGTTGCAAAACAGAGATTTATTCTTAGATGGCAAGGGCAACATGCTGCCTGACTCACCACAAATATTCTGGCACTGACTTGAGCAGTAGCAGACATGCCGTGGGGGAGGGGGGGAGTCAGGATAAATATTTGATGGCTGCATTAAAAGAAGTCTCCATAAAATGTCTGCTGTAAAGAACTGGAAGAAGATATATATGTTTTCACGTTTGCTTGCTGTGCTCTCTATTTGCATTTTTTGCTCCAGAGATTTGAGAAAAGAAAGCAAGGAAACTATCAAACTGCAAATCATACATTTGTGTTTGTATTTGCCATCCCTTCTTCTTTAGCAACCCAGAATATAAGGACACTCCGATGGATATTGCACAGCTTCCTCATCTGCCAGAGAAAACTTCAGAATCCTCTGAGACCTCAGATTCTGAATCAGACTCAAAAGACAACTCAGGTAATGTAAACATTCTGTATTTGGGTTGCTTTGCCTCTTAACAAGGATGTTTTGTTCACATTGTCACAGCCAAGCTAGGCATTGCAGTTATAGCTTAAGTGCATCTTGCAATTGCTGTAGAGCAGGAGTGGCCAAACTGATGCTTGGGAGCTGCGTGCAGCACTTTGAGATTATTCTGCAGCTTGCTGCTGCAGGTGCCCACAGGCACCCACTTGTCCCTCACTGCCTCCACCACCGCCCACAGGTTGCCACAGCCCATGGTAGCCCACCTGTGGCTCTTAAACATCTGACATTTACGGTATGTGGCCCTTCCATTGAGCAAGTTTGGCCACCCCACCATAGATGGTACCAGTACATCACAGCCTTCTGGTGTGGAGTTTTGTTGTTTTTGGTTTGGTTTTGGTAAAGTATCGAAAGCTTTGATGAATCCATAATTCACTGTGCTCACGCTTTCTTAAATTTTGGTTATCTCATATTGCCTGTTTGACTTTTCATCAAGCTTTGTAGTTTTAAAACACTGTTCACGGTCTTAATTGCCTGGTTCCACTATATTTCTGTAGGAAATATTTCACTTCAGTAGAGTTGGAAGATGTTGGATTTGATTTTTGTTGAGGCAAAATTTCCCTTGAGTGGTTGTGTGTGTGTGCATGTGTATGTGTTAATGTCCTCACTGTCAGAGCAATACAATAGTGGAACCAGCTGCCTAGAGAGGTGGTGGGCTCTCCCACACTAGAGACATTCAAAAAGAAACTTGACGACCATCTGAGTGGGATAGTGTAAATTGGTGTCCTGCAACAGTTGGACCCGATGGCCTTCATGGCCCCTTCCAACTCTACTATTCTATGATTCTTTGTGTGCATGCATGTTTGCAGAAAAATTATATTTGGGGTTGTGGGGGAGGAAGGTACATTCTATGAGGTTAAAAATCAAACCTCTCTGCCCTGCACTGTACAGGAATGTTTCAAGAGTAAGGAAAGGAAAAACCACCTGTTAAACGATCTTTCCCCACCCCCCACCAACAGAGCCTTGTCTTTCGTTGCTTAAATCCTCTCTCTTGCTTTCTGCCATGCAAGCTTGCAGTGCTGGCATTGCTGAGAGAGAAATTGGCTTTCCAGAGCCAGAAACAGGCCTGGAGAAACTGTTGCCCTCACCGTCTGCAGCAACCTCACCATTTCCTTGTTGAGGTAGAGTGGGAGCAAATCATATGGCTTTTATATATCTGCATTATTGATATGTGCCACTCAAAGCATATCCTGGTTTAGCCTATGTGACAAAACTTTCATCCAGTACTAATGTCACTGCTGAACTTGAGGTAGATTAATGATAGCCAAATCCCTCTCAGCTTGCAACCTGCTAGCACTTTGGTTTAGTGCTCGAAAGGAAATGCAATGTGCCAGATGCTTTTGCCAGCAACATTAGTAGTCATAATATCTCACTGGCAACTAGGACTCTAAGAGGGCTTTTTATCTTCTGTTCTTATTCTTAATGGTGTTTTTCACTTTCCTTTCTATTCAGAGGACAATGAGAATTCAAAGTCGGATGAGAAAGGAAACCAGTCAGAAAACAGCGAAGACCCTGAGTCAGATAGAAAGAAGTCTGGAAACCAGTCAGATAATGAAATGAACTGTAATGATGACGGGAACAGCTCCAGCAACCAGGACAGCAGAGACAGTGATGACAGCTTTGAAAATTCTGACTTTGAGAATCAAAAGGCCCCAGAGGATAGTTTCAGCACTCTTGGTTCTATGCAGATTAAGGTGGAGCGCTATGTGGAGAGTGAGTCAGACCTGCGGTTACAGAACTGTGAATCATTGACCTCAGACAGCGCCAAGGACTCGGACAGCGCAGGAGAAGTCAATGCCCAGTCTTCCAGCAAGCATCAGAAGAGGAAGAAGAGGAGGAAAAAGCAGAAAGGAGGCAGCATGACCCGCAGAAGGCTCTCAAGCACCTCAAGCCCAAACGGACTTGACTCAGCCTTGGTGGATCAGCCCCAGCTGCTCTCGTCACCAAACAGTGCCTCAGTGCTCAAAATCAAAACAGAGATCTCAGAACCTATCAATTTTGATAATGATAGCAGTATTTGGAATTACCCGCCCAACCGGGAAATCTCAAGGAATGAATCGCCCTTCAGTATGACCAAGCCCCCAAACTCAGAGCACTTCCCTTCCCCACAAGCCAGCAGTAGTTTACATGTCTCCATCCCAGACTCTGTTCTTACCCCACCAGGGACTGAAAATACTGCCAGCCGCAAATCTCAGTTCAGCACCTCATCCAACTCCGCCTTGGCTCCCGTATCCTCTGACCCTTTGTCACCACCTCTGTCAGCATCTCCACGGGACAAGCATCCGGGAGGCCCCAGCACTTCCAACTCCTTGTTGTACACTGGGGATCTGGAAGCCCTCCAGAGGTTGCAAGCAGGTAATGTGGTCCTTCCTTTGGTTCACAGGGTAACTGGAACCCTTGCTGCCACCAGCACGGCTGCTCAGAGGGTCTATACCACTGGCACTATTCGGTATGCTCCAGCTGAAGTTACTTTAGCCATGCAGGGCAATCTCCTCCCCAACACCCACGCTGTTAACTTTGTGGACGTTAACAGCCCAAGCTTCGGCCTAGATCCTAAAACACCGATGGAAATGCTCTACCACCACGTTCACCGACTCAATATGTCAGGACCATTTGGAAGTGCTGTGAGCGCGGCCAGTCTGACCCAAATGCCTGCAGGGAATGTGTTCACAACTGCCGAAGGACTCTTCTCTACTCTTCCATTTCCTGTGTACAGCAACGGCATTCATGCCGCACAGACACTGGAGCGGAAGGAGGATTGAAATATGACCACATACTGTGTTCAGTGTTAAACTCTGAGGCATAGACTATATTTTAATTTAGACCTTTAATTCTAGCACTTTGAATTTGAGCAGGTCAGCTTATTCTCTCAATATAATGGTCCCCATTACATCCCCCTTCTCTTTAACTTGACTTATTCTTTAATGTCAAAGATATTTTTTATTTTTTGCCTTCAGAGAGCTGAAGTACCAGTGGCCTGCCATTTTGTCTTCTTCCAAGATGTGTATTTTTTTCCTTTGCATCTTTGTTAAGATGCCTTTAATATGTGTATGCCTCTGCCATAGGATACTCAGTGTTGTGGTAAAGAGATTTTAAAAGTGACAACCATTGGGTTTACTTCGAAATGATCTTGATATGATCAAGATTAAACGAAACAAGCATAAAACAATGTGCCCTGTTTGACTAAGTCAAATGAAAAGGGTTTTTTTGTTCCTAATTCCTTTAAAAAATAGGGGATAGTATTTTAGAATTTTATGCAGAGTTTAATTCACTTTTTATGGTTAAGATTTTCTTACTTGCACATACAATAATTTGGGTTCTTAAAAAGTTAATTTTTGGCCTGTGCTTAGAATATTAAGAAGATGGACTAAATGTTAATTACAGAAACGTTAACTTAATTTCTAAAACCATGGTGCTATCATTTATTAATCTGTAATGTCTTCACACATATGCAGCTTGTGGGCTGGGTTTTTGAAAGGAATGTCTTCTGTACTAGTCTATAGTCAGGTGCTGCAGTCTCCTTGGTTAGTTAAGACAAAAGCCCTCATTAACATTTGCTGCAGGACTTATTTTTTACCTCCAAACTAACAAGCATAGCCTCATATTAAATTTGAATGGATCTGGAAGCCTCTTCTTGTGAATGTGCTTAAAAAGAACAAGAAAACTCAGTTAAATTGATGCGAGAATCAGTTGTTTAGGTGTGTATTGTTTCTCTTTTTTTTCTCAGTGTAACTGAGGCTAATTTTACAACTTCCAAATAACACTTCAGAGTAAGGAAATATATATATATAAATATATATTTAACATGTTTTTATTTTTTCATTTAATGTTATAGAGGGAAGGTTGTATTTTTATTTTTATTTTTTGCTCATTGATTGGTCTTTTGTAACCCCCCTCCTCCTTCTAGTGTTGAAGCCAATATGTTTTAACAAATGGGTTAATAAGCTTGAAATAGAGAACTGCAACTAAAAACTGCACATTAAGTAAAAACAAAAGAAAAGAAATCTCCTATTTTGTCTTTGTTGCCAGAAATCAGTGTAGTGTCAAACACTCCAAATGACTGTCAAGTAGAAATTCTTCTTCCACTCCATCTTTGGCAGCTGTTTGTTAAGGCATCGAATAACAGATGTGAGAACTGTAATGTGTACAATGTGTAAGTGTCCTTGGCTGTCAGTCCCATTGCAGTTTCAATGTGTGTTACTATATGCAGTATATACGAAGCTAATGTAGTTGTTTTGTCCTTTGTCTTCTCTGTGCTTTATCTCTAGTCAGGAGTGGCAAAGTCCCATTCCTACAGTCCTAGTGAACCAGTGATTCTTGGGGGTTAGTGGTTTTTGTGTGGTGGCCTTCCTCTGTAATGTCACCTTATGCTGCTTCCACTGTCTGTATACCTTTTCATTTCTGCTGTTGCTTTGCTGTTGTGTATTCTCAGACCTCTCTCTCACTCTGTTCCTGTCCCTCACCTTTCCCCTCTATTTCTTCCTCTTTCTCTTTCTCTCTTTTTCCATTCTCAGAGATAAAATACTCTTAACTAGCTCAAGGTTAATGGAGCCATTTTTCCCCACAGAGGAATTCTGGGTATGTCTTACTCTTACAGTGTGCATTACACAATGCACTAAAGAGTGATACTCAGATATATTAAAGAAAGTGATGCCATATAGCCTCAGTTGTTAACATTTCCAGAGTCCCTTGTGCTCTAACTGTATGTGGAGGGTGCATTTCTTTGGTTTTCTCCCAAGCACGTTAATAGAGAGCAATTTCAAGTGAGATAGGAAATTCTTTCCAAGGTCAACCAACATGGTTAAAAAGGGAGCTGAGCTTAGGATTGTCATATTGTATATATGTGCAATGTTCATGTATTTTAGCTCAGTTCTCTACATTTTGGATAATATGCTGTGTTGAACCAATTCTGAGTACAGTTGGTTTAGAATCTGAGAGGGTAGGTCTGAAAAGGACTGGAATGGAATAATGGCCCAGACAGCCATAGGTTGTTGCAAATTTTGATAATGAGCTTTTCAAGGGTTAGATTGGAAGGATTGTTAAGTAGATTTCAAGGCCAAGGGAAACAGATTTGCGTTTACCTTTGGAAGCTCTGCTCTAACTATTGAACAATCAAAGGAGTGCACCTCTCAGCTACGAAGAACAGCTAGACGGCTGTTGTTGTTTTATTTTTTTTATATAAATGTTTCTGTGTTGTGTCAAAATGATTTCTGGTGATTTAAACTAACAGATAATCACAGCTGCTGTCGAAATCCATAGTGTTTAAAATTACAAAATGGAAAAAAAAACTTCATTACCTGTGAAGACTGTGTCTGTGTTTTTAACTATTTCTTGTACAAATATATGAAAACTTTTATGAGGAGACTGGTGCCAAGTAGCTGAATAAAGGGGAAAGGGATTCTGTTCGTATAAATCTTAGCAGTGTTACCAACTCTACAATATATAAAAAAATTAAAATGTTAAAAAATGACAGCTATGGTACATTTATTTTGTGTTAAGCTAACTGAATCTAACTTCTTGAGTGCCTGGCTTATTCGACATTTTTTTCATTGATCATTGATAATGCTGCAAATCAGAAATGTACATACTTCATTTACAACAAGGTTCTTTTTATACTTTTGTAGATTCTCATACATGTCATACATGGTTGTCTTTATGTAACTTAATTTTTTTTCATCCTGCAGGTGCCATTTTCATAATAAACTTCTCTTGGATTTGTTACTATCTGGCATCATTTCTTTTACATATGATCATCCTGATTAATTAATGCTGGTAGTATTTGTTTGAGCAGGGTACCTTGTTTGATCATTTTCTTCTAAAATGCTAAAAGCTTAAAAAAGAGGGCATAACTAGATTGTTTTTAAAGCCTACAAGCTATTAAAAGAACCTACATAGATGCAGGCTAACAATGCTAATCCAAATACTACAATAAACGTGCCACCATCCTAAATTCTCAGCTACCCCAACTCATTCTCATACTGAGCATTTTATGCACATTATCAAAGCTAAATAATAGACATGCGTTAACATTGATAAAAAGGTGTGGATTTCTTTGATTATTGCACACCAGAAGAGAGCAGCTTACATACATTAATCACGGTAAAATGCACCTTATTTTCATTTATTACACTGAGCATTATTATAACCAAACTCTTCCGTCACTCATGCTCTACCTACATGTTTGATTTTTCTAACAACTTTTTTCCTCCTGATAGAAAAAGAGCAAATACATTGATTTCATATGCTTTATTGGCCAGGATTTCTGGCAGACAGACAGAGGGCAGAAGAGTTTGCCAGCACACACAACCCAGCCCTTGTTTTCAAAGCAAATCAGGTGGAGTAGGCCACAAAACCCCATGGAATGGTTGCCATTTAACAGATGAATAATGGCCACCTCAACAATGTTGTTGTTGTTGTTGTTGTGTAACATGGCAGGTAGCGACATGTAGAAGATAGCTCCAGGAGTTAATATAGAACGTTGATGCTAATAAATGGGATTCTCCTGTTTCATTTTGTGCTTTTCTTTATACATTCTTTTATATTGCAATAAGGCAGTGATCTGACTGGTTCTGATTCATGGCAAAAATATAATCTTCATTTTGCTATATGACAACACATGAGAAAAGAAAACAATGAATAATGTTATGGTTGTATTATTTTTGTTATCTGAGTTACTACCTTTTAGCAAATATTCCCCCTGCAAAAAGCTTAACATGATGTACATCATCCATCCCCCCCCCCAACCCCCCCACACCATTATCCTCACAGGAACTCTGTGGGGCAGGTTAGATCAAGAGACATGGGTTGGCTGGTCCAAAGTTACTCAGTAGTTAAGCAGGGAGTTGAATCTGGGATCGCCTGTTGTAAAAGTCCACATACATATGGGCAGTTTCAGCCATAAACCCACTCTGAAATTACATTCAATGCATTTTCAATGGAATCTTCTCCCCTGGCAGAAGCTCAGGGAAGCCCTGGATTTGCACAGTACTAATTGGCCCAGCCTTTGTTAAGCATTTTTCCCTCTGTGTAATGCGGGAGTGACTGGCTGGTCCGTGTGCTAAAGAATGTAGGTGGAGAAGTCAAGCTCAGCCCAGAGCAGAAACCTAGCAAGTTTCAACCTACATGTGCATACTATTTAAGCCCAGCTGTCCAGCACTGGTTCTCCCATGACTGTGAGGTAAGCTCAGTGTTTAGTGAAGACAGACCACTGTTCTCCCACCCCCCACGTTTTATTATTCATCAAATTTAAATGGTTGGCAAAAAAAACTTTTTCGTGTAATACTTCAAACCAGATTGGTATTACTGGGCTATATCCAATTATTTTCTGTGCCTAATCTGTCGAACTGTAAGGATTTGTGTTGGAGTCTTTAAATCATCTGTGCTTTCAAGTGGCCTAGTTCAGTGCTCTTGCCTCCACGGGTTCAGCTGATGTTCCTGGCTGGATGAAGTATTTCCTGATTGCACTTTTTCATACAAATCTCATGTGAAATGGGAAGGAGTCCTACTTGTGAGTGTCACACGGGGAGCTTATTAAACACTGTAAGCTTTTCTGCTCAAGGCTTTAAACTGCTCTATCTACATTCAGTTTCATTGCAAAATTGGGGCAATTCAAGCTGTGTGCAAAGAGCTTTTCCTATCCTGTTTTTCTATTACATAACTTCAACATGTTGCTGTGCTATGGTGGAATAATGCAATTATACAAGCAGGAAGATTCATTTTCTTCTGCTTTTAGAAATAATGTTCTAAGTTTTCTTGCTCTTAGGAAAAAAAACCCAGGAAA